CAGCAAGCGCAAGAAATCTTTTCTTTGTACACCATAATCACACGTAGAAAATCTACGCCGCTATTTTAGAGCTCAGAACCAACGAGACAACCAAGACCGATATTCAATGCAAGCCCACAGTGTTCACACTTTTCACTAATCTTCTGCATCCTTGTCCTTCTTTCCACACCCAAAATTTGTGCTCATTGCTGCAGAAAGATTGAAAGAGCCTGTTATTTAAAACATAAGGTAGAGACAGGTAGAGAAGACATGGGTATTCAGTCTTAGGGTACAAATGGGATAACTAGTTAGGTGTGACAAAACAAGACTCAAAACAAAATTTACTTAAATGTAAAGTTAGCAGGAAGGGTTCAAAAGCAAAATCATAAGCCCATGCAGAGACTTAGGCAAATGAAGGTCCTTCTGTGTATTGTTTCGACAGCTGTGTTTGGTTATGGTCACTACAACATCAAGAGCAACAGACCAAGTGAGCTGGCAAACACTGCAACTCTGAAGAATAAAAACTGTCAGCACACCCTAAAAAAATTGCTCTAAACTGGGGTTAAGAAAATCTTACAAGCACTGACTGCTGGCCAGGCAAAGCTCCTCTTGCTAGGTATTCACATAAGATATTAATAACAAGGAACTAGACATACAGCCTTTCCATCTTTAACCAAGACCTTTAAGAAGCAGCAGCTAGAAATACCATCTTTCCTTATTGATGTTTTCCTCTGGGTTTGTCTAAATAGCTATTCACTGCCTTGCAAGATGAAAGACTATAACTGCTTCTTTGACACCACATGGGAACTATAGCATGGGGTAGAGAAGAGAACATTGGGGTGCAAGTCCCACCTCATTAATAACACACCACAGCAGTTCAGAGGAGTCCCTTAAGCCTCAACATCACCTTGGGCAAGAGAGCATTAGTCCGTATTAGCTGTGGGAATGACCTAGGAATACCAATTAAGCAATGGAAAACAAGATGATGCTCAGGACCCAAAAAGCAAACACTGCCTTATGGAATAAAGCATCAACAAAATCAAAGCAAAGGCACTTTTGACCTTAAAGAACCACTTGATTTTAAGTATGCACCAAGTTGCACAGGCAAACAGCATATGCTGATTAATAACCTGAAGCATATTAATGTTTACCACGTTACTGGATGACAAACCAAGGGCAAACTAGTAAGCCTCTCCATTAATAAGGAATGAGTCTTTAGTTACCAGCTACCCTTTCCTTCAGTCGGTTGAGAATATTCCCTAACCCCCCACATATCTCCCAAATAAAGGATCAAAACTGATTTACTACAGCTTTCTGACAGAACGGTCTGTCTCTAACTTGTCAACAGATCATCCAGTCTGCAAAACACACTTGCATTCCTTAGGAAAAAAAAAAAAAGAATTACATTGTAGAGAGCAAAAATCCAGCCCCAGATTAACGGCCAATCTTTTGGGCTACAATTCCAGTTTTACAGTAACTTTAACAACTATTTCCTCCATATTATCTCCAACAAACGCTAGACATTGATACAGCTGGACGTGAATACAACTGTATAAGATCACAAGGTCAACACTCACATTGTGGTGTTTTACTGGAGCAGCACTTCCCTCCCCACTCGGCATTTAAAGACAGTGCATGTGAAGGAGAAGTGAAAGCAATATTCAAATACGACACTTTCCACTCGCTACTCTGATTTCCCCCAGCATATTTAGTAGGAAAGGGGAAGTAAAATATTTAAGAGTCAGTCTTTGTTTTCATATTACTCAGTGGAATACATAACAACAGCTATATAAAACTATCTAAAAAGAAAAGATGCTCTTTTCACACTGTTTTACTTGATAAACTAGTTCACGCGCAGCCCTGAGCCCGTCCAGTACCTTTCTTCGCTTCTCCCGCACACGAGACCTCTCAAACTCATTTGCCCGCACAGTTTGAATCATCCATTTCTGCCATGTTAGCCAAGTTGTTGCATACATCTTTGAAGACAGTTACTATGAAATTTTAACCTTGTTCTAATTCATCCATATTCTTCTCACCTTGCTTTATCTCCGCTCACTTGGATCACCTCAAGTACCTAAACATATACCCAAGGTACTAGATCACACTGGACTGTCACTTCCAACTGCTGAAAACATGATTTTTATTTATTATTGGAATCCAGAAGTACCTGCAATCCAGAAGTACTTTCTCTTTTTTTCCCCGGGAAGTTCTTTCCAGAAGTACTTTCAGAAGTAAAAAACATCTTTTGCTTTAAAGTTCATTTCACTCATGACTTCTATTCCTTTGCATCCTGGGTTCAAAGAGGGTAGCAATGCAAGTTTCTGAAGCACGTACATTAAACTCCTGCAATTATTAAAATCCCAAAAGCTCAAAGACTCTTAAATGTTTAATATATATCATTTCTTTAAATATAGCTCAATGGAACAATTTCTTGTACGAGAAATTTTACAGAATGCATAGAATCTTCACTTCTATGGTCATCGATGAGATACACAGATCTTGTCATTAACTTCCCATTTCTTCATAGGAAGGATCGTGGAATAAGAGTATAAACCTGAAAAGGACATTCACAGTCTTCTACTTCAATCCCTTTGTTACGGTCAACCAGTTCATGGAAGGTAAACATTACAGCATGGTTTCATGTTCAAAGTAGATTTTGAGGGATTTTCTTCCTACCACTTCAGGGTCTGCTCCAGAACTTTGTTTGGCTGAAAGAAGTGTTTCAATTTCTAAATAAGGTTTTAATCTTCAGTATTTAAAACAAAGGACCCTTCCCTGCCAAACAGGTTTAGGACAGGGATAACCCACTGTTTGACCAGCGGTGGGATGGGAGACAACATATCCTGGCCACATGACAGTTTTACCTGGCTACTGGGAATGCCAACATGCATTTCATGAAATCAAGATGCATCTAGTCTGACAAGTCCGTATCAGTACTGAGTATAAACAAATATGATGCTCTGCAGTTTGCTGAAGTTCAGAGTGCAAGGAAGCCTCGTGTGGCTCATCATGGAACCAGTTCAGGTCCCTTGTCCTTACCATCTCAAACCTCTGTCCAGCGCTACGCGAGCTAAACTGCTCCCAGAGTTAAGCTAGTATGGAAGGCACAGGAGCCATGTTTGCTAAGCGTTGCTCTCAGGCGCCCAGGAATCCATCAAACTCCAACTGGTTCTTTATGAATCCCAGTCTGAAAGCGAAGGGAGGCTACAGAGTGTCCTTGGGAAGTTTCACTATATGTTCGCTCTGTTTTGCTCTGCCCTGAACACCTGCGTCTGAAAGCTCATTGCTGCTCCTTTCCACAGAAACTTTCACCATCTGAAAAGAGATGTCTATGAACTGAAAGATATAGAAGATACTGGGTCACCAGGACTTTGGTCTAACACTATTCATGGCTGTGCACAGTGGCACAGTTTACCCCTTCCCTTCCCACCACCACATCCATATTCACCAGAGCATACTCGACTCCCTCACACGCACCCTCCTATGCAATACATCCAAAGTCTTTGAGCAGCTCATCTTGGAAACCCACCTTGGACATCACTACACAGGGCATACCGAAAAGTGACTGACACTGAACTGGAACTAAAACTTCTGATGGAAAAGACCTAACTCCGTGTACGGCTCCTAGTGTATCCCCTCGTATCAATAATATCTAGCTTTTTTCCTCCATTACCCAGGCTATCTCCAGTGAGCAGAAAATTGCTTACATCAAGGTATCAATAGTATGCGTCCAAGAGTTGAACAGTTTCCTGGGGAAAACAAGCAGATATAGACAGATGTGATCTGTGGTCCCATTATAGGACTGCCTTATGTACAATCTAAACATCACATATTGTTTTCCCCCTGTAATTTGGCAGTAAGCCATAGATGATCTTCAGAAGAAAGCTTCTTGCAGCTGATCATCAATCAGACCAGTGGAAATTAGCAACGTGAGCAGACCAAACTTTTTAGCTTATAACTGGCAAGTACTGGTAGCAGAGATGCAACCGGCTGATGAGCATTTTCCCTGCGGTTGGTGTACAGGCAAACCAGTCGGGAACGAGCCGTTGAAATACCACTTTACAATCAGCCAAGTCACAGAAGCGCTAAGCTGTTACACATATGACTTAGTACTCACCTACTACACTGCAATCCACATCAGATTTTGTTTGCTTTTCTTCTGTCATCTATCTTATCACAATGAAGTAGTAGGGGACATTTTTGTCATTTTCTAAAATGGTTCTAGCCATTATTTCTGGAGGATCCTCCTCTGCTCCACCCAAAACCAATTATACCTATAGTTTATTCATGCCCTGCTTAGCCATCTAGACAGGAGGGATGCTTCAGTCTACGGACACAGATCTGACTGAATGGACAGACTGACTGGAAATCATTTGTTTAAAAAAAAAAGTATGCGTTCTTTTTCTTCCTTACAACTCCCTAATCACTCGCTACAAACTGCGCATCAGTACAGCTGTTTGTACAACAATACATGCAGTACAAGTTCAAGCTTGCAGGTCTTCAAACACTATCTCACAGTTCATTAAAAGCTTCAATCTCTCTAATGTTGGAATTAATAGCAAAAGCTATCAATATCAGCATGAAGGAAAAGTTTGAAGTGCTGGAGGCGTTGGTTCTGGAGTCCACGAAGATGTGCTTTCCTGTCTCTAGACAACCACATGTGACCTCTGTTTTGGTCAGCACTGAGCACAGTAACATTCAACAAATCATTTGACTGCAGCATGACTGGCTCTCAGCATTAAGACTGCATTTTTTTGTCCAATCCCTTCCATCTGAAAGGTTTGGGTCCCCCACCCCCGCATTGCTGTGAACTGCTTATAATGACAGCACCGAAAAGTTTGTTTTGAGCATTTAGAAATCAGTAAGTTATCATGACACTCCTGGCTTTCTGGCATTGAGCAACTAGGAAGAGACAATGCTAAAGAATCTCTGCTTTTAAACTGTAATTAT